GCCATCTAGCTTTAAGGGCTGCGCACAATGAAAGGAATAAGGAACAGGCAACAAAGAATAAGAATCTCAACCTATCAGAAATCATGTATTGGAATACACAGTTTCTGATAGGTTAAAATTCTTATTCTGTTCCCTGTTTCCTTTCATTGTGCGCAGCCCCTTAAACTAGGGCTGTGTTCGCTTTGGCGTTCACAACGCTTTAAGCGTCGTTTCATCTTTGTTGTTTAATAAATATTAAACAAGAACAATTGCTCACAAGCGTTGTGAGCGGCAAAGCGAACGCAGCGTAAACAGGTAAACAGTTAATTCATACCACTATATTATTAAAGATCAACATCCTTACGGGAGTGTCTTGTAAATATTGAAGTGATTAAGAACTAATTATATTGTACTAATTTTATAATTTATTAATTCAGTAGACGTATTTGTGCATTTATAACTTAACAATACTCGACTTTTCTTTAAAATTGTGATTTCAGTATTATCGTCATAGTTTGATTATCAACAGAGATGATAACTGCGGAGAAAAAATTGTAATTTTTCTGCAATATACAGGATATTATAGCTTTACAACTATGCATATTTATTTATGAAATATTTATATAATAAAAAATCATGAATTTAATAATCTATGAGCCAAATATTTATGTTAATAATAGCAAATTTATACCAATTGTCGGTAATGTCAGCGTTCTTCAATTACCTTCGGGCCCTTGGGGCCTCTTTTATATCACCGAAAATTTGCCCAGGGTTGACGGTCTTTAATAGTAGCCGGTGTTCATACTCGTTGCATCGTGATGGCTAAAGTAGAACTGGCAATCATAAAGGTATCTTTTCATTCTCCGTTTTCAAACAAAACACACAGAGTGTTGCCAATTAAATAGAATTTCTATCAGAGATTTGGAGGTTTTTTCTTTTTATACCGAGATTTTTTGAAGATACAAAAAGTTTAGGAGAATTTCCGGGGTGACTTTTGAAATGGAAAATACCTAGAAAGCCCAAATTAGCTGAAATATAAAAAAAATCACAATATAAGAGATAACTTTTGAATAAACAATAGTACTGCACGCAGCTTCTCAGTTTTAATCATGTGTTAAACTAGAATGAACTGATTAAACTTGTACCTTATGCTATTAAAAAAATGGGTCATTCACAATCGAATGGGAACAGAATAATCGATTCTATTCTTCTCACATTCGATGTGATTGATTAATTTCTCATAACAAATTATAGTCCAATCATAGTCAAAGTAACGATCTCACGTTTTAAAATGCTCGACTGTGATTGGCTGATTTGCTTACGATTACAACTAAAATTTTTGTATGCGATGCCACCTTTAGCAGGTGGCACTAATTATGATGGAAAGTAGTGAAGAAGAAAGTCAAGCTCGTTTTCGAAAAAAATTTCAAAAAAATAAATTAAAATAAACTAAATACTTAAATTCTAGAGATCTTTCACCACTCCCGCTGATTAATTTCATCAACAACCCTCTTTTCTTCGTAAATATTATACTCACCTACAAAAAAACCATTGTAAATTATAGGGTGCAGCTCACTTGGCGCTACAAATGAAGCATTTGACTGACCAATCAGAAGAAAGAAATTTCACTAATTGACCTTGCCTTTCACTAATTGTTATGCCTAAAAATGATTCAAATCTCGAGTTAAAACGTCTATCAGTTAACTTCCTTAGCAAGTACATTTCAATTATTTGTAAGTTGTATTTTATTGTTTTATAGAAATATATATTATTTACACATCAATAACCGTGGAGGCTCATGTTGGCATTTTACTTATAATTTACTTATAATTTATTCTTAGATCCACAAAACTCTATATTTATTTTTATATAATAAGAATTAAAACGGTTTCAAGTTTAATGAATTTCTTTGATATTTTGATATTTATTTAATTAAGAAAAAAATCTAATAATTAATAAATATACTAATACCATAACTACACTTGTAGGTTCTTACGATTTGCAGACATTTAGAGAGCGGAACGAGGAATCTAGCGCAACTAAAGTAGCGTTAAGCAAGTAGCTTTGTAAGATTTTTTTAAATATAATTGGTTCTTGCTCTTAGTTCGCCACTGAACCTAAATGTATAAACCAATCGAATAAAAAAGTATATATACGACAATTATAAAGCTGCTATTTCTGTTGGACGCAAGCCTTCGGATTATCATTCACATACAAATATTTAGCGTGTTACTGCGTTCTAATATCCCCGTAAAATTCATTATACAACAATTATATATGTAAATTAATTATATAATCTCGTGTACAGCTTTACTTATTCATATGATCTTTATCTGCACGGTATATATTAAGTCACAGTTATATCACATTTATGTCATACATAATACTGTCTACTGAGAGTTGCAAGTTACAGTGATTTTATAATCTCGAGTATCGATATCATAATGAGAATCGACATAAAACTTTTACCCCTTGTTCTGCTTACTGTAGTGTTGCTGGAAGCAAGGGTACATGCAGATTTATCATCCCTTTGGAAGATATTATTCAACTATCTGTTTCCTAAGGATCCCGGTATAGTGAGAGTAAGGAGGCTGGAAGAAGTAAAAAAAAAAACAGTGAACAACGTATCTATATTAGATTTCGTAAGTAAGATTGTCTTTTATTATTAATTTGTTTAATTAAAGGTATGCTTGGCATAATAATTTCGTATTTAAAAGATACATTCTAAGCAGGACATTCATGATAATAACAAAATAACGTTGAAATCGTAATTAAAAGTGAATTTTTTCTCGAGTGTCATACATTTCAGGATTGATAATAATGTATTTTACCGATAATTTTTTTATATGATAATATACATAAATATACATATATAAGTATATCTAAATATATATATA